GAGAGGCGATCGATCATTCCTTATCGGCGTCCGCGACTCGATTCCGTTCTGGCGTAGGCGTCTCCGCAGGATCGTATCCAGAGAAGGTTCACTGGAGTTCATTGCTATTGTTGCGTGATACCACGTTATAGCAATCGCTTTGAGATTCGATTTTCTACGCGCCGTTCGTGTCTCGTATCCGCCCGAAAAGCGTTGCGTGTGGAGGTACGAGTGGCGCTCCTCGTCTCTCCAGAGGGTCTTTTGCTTTTCTCGAGGAAGAATTCTTCCTGAGGCGGCTGATCCTAACCTAGCTCCGGGCTGTTTACACTTCCCTCGCTATCTTATCCGTCTCGGCTTCAATCTGCTCGCCGCTTCCATACATTTCATCGGGGCTGGCATCGAGCTTTAACCGAAGCTGATTTCTGATAAGGGATTGATGCCGCCAACTGAAGCAGAAATACAACAAGAGGCTTTAGAGGAAGCTCCTTACCTTCTCCTTCCACTAGGGGGATCGCACAAGCTTGCGCTCGGATGGGCCGAGTCGATGGCTACGGCCGGCGGCTCGGCGAAGTCGTTCGAAGTCGACTGCGACGATCCGACACATAATAATGCCTTTACGACTGCCGTGTTGAGCGAACACGCTCCGCAGCTCAATTACGGTGGCGTTCACGTGTGAGAAAGGTCGAGAGAAAGAACAAAGGATCTCGTACGATGTCCTCGTTTATTTGGACTCCGATGGCCGACGTACGTTTTGACGTGGGACACGTCTTTAGGCTCACTTGAGTAAACAACGTCACGAAAAGTGTTACGGATGTGACGTCCCGAAATCCACAGGCGCCAAAATTTGAAAAAAGAAGCGACTTCATTGACCGGGATGCATTGCTCAGATCGAAATGCACCAGACTGACATTGAGGTGCTGGGTATTAGACATGCTGCCTCCAATGATAATAACAGCCTCCCAATGATAATAACAGCTTCCCATTCTTCGTCAATTAACTTCTGTGCGATACGCTAGGGTACGCTGTCCAACTTCCGGTCGACATGTGAGCAAGAGAACTTGTTTCCAGCGGTTCGTCTGCTTACTCGTTCGATCGCCATAGGTAGAATGTATCCGCGGCCGAGCAGACGAATCGGGCACTGAGCATGCGCATGAACATATGTTTCTAGCTATTCATCTGTTGGTACGTGCGACCGCTGTAGGTCGAATGCGTTCCTTTCCTCGAGATCTTTGGGCGGACGATTCGAGTATTTCTCGAAATCCGGTTGACCGATCAGCAACCGAGATGGAAATCTGTGCTATTTCGATATCAGATCAACCCACCACAAAGGGTCAATCCACTATAGATCTCATCTTCACCAGACACATTCAGTACCAAGAAATTCTTACAAATATCACCTATTTCAGCCATCACCGAGCAATACTCACTATTCTAGAATAAGCTCATCAACCAGAACACATTTCTAGAAAAAATAAGATTGAATAAACGATTTATATCATTCCGTCACAACCGCAGACGCGTGTCCCACGTGAACCCCTGGTTCGGCTTCCAGCCGAACCTGCTCGGAATTTTTTATGATGCGCTCCTTGACCGAGGTGAGACGTTTATGCTGTGTTTATCGCACTTCGACCGCAACAAGCTCGGCATCCACGCGGATACCCAGCTCGAGCCAGACGACGATTGCAAGCTAACCACGGCGCAGATTACTGCCCGGGGGGACGTTTAATGAGGGTGACTTTTAGCTCCCAGACGTCAGTGAATTGAGTCTACAAAGCAACGAACGACCGCCAGCGGGCAGGACACTTGACTTACTCTAGTTCGGGCGTCTCACTTATTGGAGTGGGAAGTATCAACAAAAGAGAAGAAATTTTCAACTTATATGATACTTGGGGAATCCTCAATGTCAATCCAAAGGAACGCTCCCCATTGGTGAGGGTCCAAAATTATTCGACGAGATATTCCCTGTGTATCACTGACCTTTTACCGATCGGGAGACGCAATCGCCAGGACAACTCAGTGTCTAAACTCCGGAAGGGCCATGGAGACAATTTTCGAAGCAATGCCGGCTCGGGCACGCATTGGTCCGTCGATCTCAGATCATCGTGTCGCAGCTCGTGAGCTCACAGGAAAGCAAGCTTCGCGTAAGTCGCCTTCGCTCCGGTGGAGCTCGTTTGCTCCGATGCTGCCGCGCCATAGTCATTGCACGGATCTTCAGTGATTCAGTGTGCGAGATAAGCACGGCCGACTGATTCTTCGCGCTTTGTCTGGCTTAGTACAACATCATTCTTCCGTCCGGACAGAGAGATACTGGAAAAGAAACAAGGAACGAGTCAGGAGCGCGCAGTCGCTGCAGTCACTTGACTTCAACTACGACGGGGATCCGTTTTTTTACGCTTAGGATGGGAAATGATTGAAGCAGAGCCCTCTATGAGATGCGTTGTCGATACCCATCCGATTAGGATCTCCCAGGACTCCGAGAATCCAGAGAGACTGCTCACTAGGCAGTCATACGAGGTCGTTCGGAATTATAAAACAATCGCGTGGGTGTGTTCCTGGGAACCGATAGAGCTGGGTCCGATAAGGGACGTGGGACCCTATTGCTCTATCGAACAATCTCAGGATCGGCTGCAGGTAGCATTCGAACCTCCCGGCTCGACTAGCGAAACTTTGTGATCCTACCGGGACGGCATCGATGCGATCGACCGAAGTTTGCATCTCACTCCACGAGCCTGGTCTGAAACTTCCGAGTGACCGCAACCATTTGCACGGGGGAGTCTATTCCACGGCTTTGTACTTCTTTGCCGAGAATTCATGTCCTAAGCGGGACGCATCCACGGGGGATCACAAACTCAAGGAACTTCTTCGGTATTCGGGGAGTAATTCTATCGCCAAGTCTCGAACTTTCCGAGGTGCCTCAAGGTCACGCAATCAGAGATCATGCGAAGCGCTGATCGATGCGCTCGATTCGACGTTGGACGCGACCAACACAAATTAAGATCGTGAAATTCGCTGGAGGTGTGTGCATTGATTCTCCGCTACAGGGGTTCCCGTCGTCCTGAATCATGTTTTTCCTTGGACGTTGCTGACAATACGTTCGGCACGCGCACCCAGGTTTCTACTGAAGACAGAGGAAGTCACACGAGCCCGGATGGCGCTCTCGAGCACTAAATTGACCCTGGAGGAATCGAGAGACCTGGAGCGCGTCGGGGTGAGATAGGAACTTGCTGAATATTTCAGGGGGCGACGCGAAAACGCTGAGAAGTCCCCCGGGAGTCAGGGGAAACGCCGAGGCATGCTCGTCGAGAGTTTCAGACAGTGAGGGAACGTCGGCCAGCGTTCGCCGGAAGAGTCGGAGTGAAGTGCGGAGGAATTCCGAGGAGAAACGGAAAACTACGCGGGCGGGGGCAATTATTCAACAAAATTGGTTAGGCGCTCGCACGGTCTGTGGAAATAGCCTCAGAAGAGACTTTGTTCCGCTGACTGACCGACGACGTCAAGATTTTCTTTTCCGCATTCCATCGAAATCTGTCGACGGGGGGGTGCCTGACGTCACGGATCCAATCATAATTTTTCCAGAGTGAGAGAACTAATTTCCTGTCCCACAGGAGTTCGTTCTACCATTCGAACCGCTGTCGCCGTGTCCCTTGATTCGCGTCCAATAACCGCCGGCGTCGGCTGCGTTGCAAGCTACAGGAGTGATGACCTAAGTTTTTTTTCCTCGGAGGGAACGAACCCTCCCGCTGTCAAGAGAGCTGTCAAGCTTCACGGAATCAGCAGAAAAATTTGGAGACCGTTCGAGTATCGAGTTGTCGCTCGCATCCCATTAGGGAACTGCAATTAAGACATTTCTGTCTATGGCGGGCGCGATGGCAGGTTGTCGTGTGGGCAACGCAATAGCTCTTACGCTCTTATACATACCCTGTCCGAGCCCTACTCGATTTCACTCCGGGTTGAGCTTCCGCTGGAGGTAAACGCACGGCGGATGTGGATAACGTGTTTGTTCCGGACCAAGACAAATTAGTTCACGGTGAACAACAGGGGCGGCTTAAATCCTCTCTTCGACCTCATCGTCCGCAGCAATACCACGGCGGAAAGGAGCAGCAATCGGAGAACACGAGAGTAACGACGAGGAACTCCTGACCAGCTCCCGAGCACCGACATCGCAGCTATGAAGTCTTGCCGACCGCTCGATGGGCACAGTCTGTCGCGTCGTGCGACGACGGAATTTGTCCGAAGGGTCGGTGCTCGAGCATATTAGGCGGCATTCGATTTAAGGGAAGTTCATCCTTCAAGTATTCCATTTGTTTCGAGTGACATTTTCCAGAGTACACAACACAGACCCTGAGCTTGACAAGCGAAGGATCGCTCCCACGAAGTCCCGACGTAGCGAACGCGCGTTCATCAATCCATTCATCCCTCCGTGCGAGCGAGCGACCGACAGATTACCCGACCGACCGCCCGCCCGCTCCGAAGCGCACGCTCACGCGCACATACGTCAACTCACTGAAGCCTTGCGTATCCCGCCGCGGGCACGAGGAGTAGGTGGCCCTTCTCAACCCGCAGACGATTCCGGTCGGAAGGGGCAAGACAAAAAGCGTGCCTTTGGGTCGACGACGTCAGGACAGATATCCCTAATTGGGTTAGGCTATCGGACACAAGCGTACTGCCTGGGGATACTTGTGGCTCAGAATATGGTGCGTCGGTTTCGAGTGGATACCACTCTCTTCATAGTTTTCGAAATTCGTGGATCCCGATGGACCTCCGCCGAGTGATTGGGGGGGAGCTCAGAATCGACAGGACCGTTCATTTTGAGAGAATCTCGTAGAGACTTGCGCTCGACGACGAACAGCCGGAGGAACCGAAGAGCCTAATCGACATTTGCGTCGGCTGATGGTTCTAGGGGGCGCACTCTCTAAAAAGCCACTCGACTCGCCGATACGTGAATTGTTTGTCAGAGGATAGCGTGATCTCAATAATATCTAAAGCCTGCGTGTATAAAAGACAGGCACGCTTCTGTCTACGATCATTCGCGACAGTGAGACCCTCGAAAACGGCCGCCCGTAGAATTTAACGACGACTAACGATGAAAGCTAGCCTCAGGTTGGCCATGCGATCTAGCGTATTACTGGTTTTGGTGGCGTTCGCCTTCGTTCTGTCCGTGGCAGAACAGGTTTCTGCTGCAGACGCCGCCACTTCGTTCGGTGAGTACGAACCTCTCATCGAATTCGGGGGGCCTGATTTTTCTATTTTTTTTAATCTGCTCTGCACTCCCATTTTCCGGGTCGACCAATCCCAGAACGAAAGGTGCGCAAACTGAGCGTCGGGGTCGGTTCTCAGCGGTCGCGGAGCGGTGGCAGAACTCCTCATATGGATACCTCCCCAATCTCACAAGATCGATCTTGTCCCCGAATCTCGTCTTCAAGTCTCTATATGCGTCTTGGACGAGACTCGTCTCCCAATCAAGCACTGGGGAGGAAGAGCATTCTAATCGTTGAAAATAGCTCACAAGCCACTCCAACCCTTTGTTGAGACTTCGAAAGATGATCAGTTTGCTCCCGACTCGACTTTCGGTCACGATCCGATGTTATTGACGATTCTCATTGAAGTCCGAGGGCACTCAAGCGATTGAAGCCCAAGGCGGACAGCAGGTAGGGACAAGATGCCCAGAACGAGTAGAAGAAGGGAGCTCTCAATCGGTCCGAATTCAGGGTTTCCGATAATTGGATTCTGTCAGGAAGAGAGCCAGACAGCATGTCACTTACAAGGCTCGTTCGCGCGTCAGAAACACAACTCTTCCTTATTCTGGTCAATGTCGACGAGATTCGATTCGCAGTCCCTTTCAGAATCGGAATCGATCCGCCCCCGAATAATACTAGCTTGGAGGGAGATACCTGACTTTTCCGAGATCTCGTGGATAGAGAAGGGGGTCTCTCATTTTTTCGCGGTTTCGCGGTGGTCGAGATTTTCGCGGTTTCCATAAATTCCATCACATGGGTGATAGCCCTGTATACTCCGAGATCTGCTCCGTACTGAATTGCCGGAAAACTGGTGAGTCCCCGCCTGCTAGCTAATGAAAAGAGGATCTTGGGATTGCAGGAAATGACGTGAACCGCGACTTCAACACAAAACGGATCATTGCACTACTCAGGAGAAGCAGTAAGTCTCGTCACCGAACAATTCGTTCTCCGATTGAAGAAAACCTGCTCGCTTGTGACATTTTCTTGCATCGTCGGTCGTAGGCAGAATCCGCTCCACCTGACATCCGGAATCAGAGTTGTTAAGCTTGGCGGGCTTCGGAGGCGACTCAGTCAATCAGCCCAAGCCCTACCGCGAGTCGCTGATTCCGACCGACTTCTCGGAAACCAAACCTTTTCTCTGACGTGAGGGTAGCAACGGAGTAATGAAGAAGCCTGAGTACCTCCCTGATTGCAACCCTCAAGCAATCCACGACGGAGGATTTTGCCGGGCACGGCTACCTCTGTCTCGGACGGCGTTTCACGAATGGAAGTCAAGCGAAGAATCCACAGAGGTGGAGAGCATTTTGAGTTTCGAGCGTAGACTTTCTGAATATGCGGGGAATTCCCGCATGCTGCGCGAATTTCGATGCGACCTCGCAGTCAGAGAGGTCCTATCAAGGAACGCATCCTTGAACCACATTCCGGCTCCTCTAAAGGAGTGCCCGTTTATTGTCCTTTTATGTTTCCAACCTTACAAAAAACAGGAGAGTCTTGGAGAGTGGCCGCGTATCAGTGAGGGCTTCCCCAGATGGGGGAGAAGGTATTAGTGAAACTCCGGAGTGCTTCCCAATGCGTAAAAAGAGCAGAATCATTAGGTCGGATAGTATTGCTGGATCGGTGCCTCCCTGTTGCGTCATTGTGATCGGCGGCAGATTGCTGACCACTAACCTTTAGGAGGCTCGCGGTCAACTATTGCCGTCTACTTATAAGGCGACTAAGGCACGGCTCACTGGAAATTCCCAAGATGTATGCTCCGAGAATCATCGAATGTATCAGGGTGCTGCGGCGGCTCATAGGGAAAGGCGCTCGTCCCAAAGATGGACTTTGTCTTTTCCGAGCTACCGACAGAATCAGTCTCGAGCGTGTGTCTCACCCGAAAACGCAGGCACATACCTGGAAGGAAAGACTTTCGAAAGTCCGTGCTGTGCTCACGCGGAATTCAGTTCTCCCTCTACTATTGGATGCCCTCCCCGAATTTGAGGTCATGTCGCGATCATTTTTGGGGCCTTCTCAGCTTCCCGACAGGAGTCACGGATTTCTTTGAGGGGTATTCCTATCGTTTTCTCATCCGTAGATTCCGACTTGAGTCAGAACCATCATGACATACTGGCGCGCTATATTTCTACAATGTTTCTTGTTTGCGCAACGTGAGTTGACTCGACTGGAGCTCTCCTTCTCTGCTCGAAAAGGCGACCGCTCACCCAGACTGGGCTATGAATGGCAGTAGCAGGCTGTAGAGGTTTTATGACGAACTTCGTCTCTGTCGACGATGACTCATAAATGGTCGGAATTCCATGCGAAATTAATCGTCAGCCATTGATAGCTCGCTGAGTCCCGTCCGTAACCCTATGGAACTCGCGTCCCGGTCCCGACGTAGAACGACCATACTCCCTCGTCAGCTCAACTACCATTCCCTGACGGGTCTCCGCCCTGACGGCGGCGGAGTCCGAGGCAAAAGTTTATTCTGACGCTCACGGGCGAAGCCGGGAATGCTGCGTCAAAAGCGTGTTCAGAGCTCACCGAGTGATTTTCGCCGCCTTCGCGAGCATCCAGGGCCTTCGAATACCGGGTTTTCACTGCTTTGAAAACATTCCAGGCCGCCAACCGAATGCCCTCGCGGACAGCTGTAGGCTCTACGGGCATTCGTGCCTCGGAGGTGAGTGTTCCTCGCTCTCCGTCTCACGGAAGTTGTGTCGCTTGCAATATTCGCTAATCTAAGTCTGAGGTCGATTGATAATTCAAGGTCACGGCAAAAGATCATCACCGGTTACCGCTGAAGAAGTTGATGATGACGGCCCGATGTATCGTATTGACTACGACTGGCTGCAAAGCCGCATCTGAGACTCAAATACAGTGGAAGAGCGAAAGATGATCGATTTGCCCCAGGGCATCAATTCTTGGTTTGACATCGGCCTGATCCGATCTTGACACTAACCCATATCGAATGTTCTTCATGGAAACGGGGTATCAACATTCCACTCGAGAAAGCCGCAGAAGGATTGAGGAAGGGGGAGGAGTACGGGGAGCGGGAAAATCGTATCCGTGAGCTACGAACAAACGACGAATAGAGAAACGGAAGAAAAATCCTAGCGAACGATGTTTCATGTAGCGAGCGAATTCCTACCGCCACGAGAACGCAGTCCTTCGTGTCTCGAAGACCCAAGTGTTCGACGACGCAAAAACGACCCGAACATTCATTCGCGGCCAAACTGCAACGGCCCTCGCGTTATACGCCGATAGAATAATAAAAGGGATGAGCAAAGGAAAACAGATGCCTTCCATGATGCGGATAATTGGGCAGCATACGAAATCAACGATACCGTAATTTTTCTCTGTTTCCTCTCGCAAAGTCCAGTCTCGACTCATCTCGTACATACCCGACCGATGATCCAGACCTAGGAACCCGACTTTCTTTCTTCCATGAAAATTCGAAATTTCGTTGCACTCCCTTGAATCATGGGCTTCCGCCTTGCCGTTGCCCATTGCCCCTTTGAGCTCCTGCCCCGAACGAAATTGTCCGCAGATCAAATTTTTCAGAAACCTCTTTCAGCTGCCTCCACCCCGGAAAAATGAGGGGAACGCTCCTGACGAACACTTTCGGTTTCAGCGCAGACTTGATAGCTTGGTTTCGCTTCCGAGTTACTATATTTGTCGAAGAGAGCCCCCGAGGAAGGGTGAATTATCCAGCGAAGAGTATAACTCTGAATGAGGCAGCTCCCGGAGGTGGGAGAGAAGTCGCCGTCGAGTCTTCCCAGGGATCAGGGGGGCTCGGCGAAAGGTCACACAGGACCTGCTCCCACAAGTGCTGGGGGAAGCCGTGACTCGAGAGCCTGCCAGAAACTCGACTCCTGGAGGAAGTAGCAGCTTGAATTGCATCCGAATGCTGTTCAGCTCACGCGATGCCTCCTCTGAGCATATTGACGTAGAGACGTTATTCGGACGAGGGGAGATTCACGGCTCTCGACTTTTGGCTTCGGATATCGATTTCTCAGTAGAGATCATGTTCTGCATTCGATCCAATCGATGGGCCTTCGCGGTAGGATACATGTTCGTCGACAGTTTTCGCCCTCCGCTCAACGCCATCGCAACGCGAGCGCCGCCGCAGCAGAGCGCTCAAAATCCGCTACGGACGGTCGCGTCGATGAAGGCCCTATAGATTTTCGAAATCGGAGTTGGAGTCGCAGATCGGAGGTGCATTGTTTCAATGGTTCCAAAGTCACGCCACTTCGGTCTCAAGTCTGAAACTTCACCAAACAGGCGAAGGAGCAGCTCATCGATATTCCGAATAGTTGACTGCACTTTCATGAGCCAGGCAACTCATATGGTTCAAATTGGATTGTTCCGTAAACTGAACTGTTTTTTCTTCCCTTGAGAGTCATTCGAACTATCAGTTCGCGTTGCTCTGAAACATCGAACCGCGATTGCGCCTCCGCAAAGTATCGTACAAGACAATGGAAAGCTCATAATCACTAGCTAAGGCGGCGCGGATCCGGGTATTAGGCTCGGGAGTAGAGCTGACCGTGATGGCAATACAATGCGAATCCGAAGCCCCCCGCACGCCAGCCCTGATCATTGGGTGATCGATGGTCGATCTCACTGACTGCCGATCACCGCGAGGCCAAGTAGGACTGTATCAGCCACGGCTCATTCCACGAGGTATAACATCTGTACTAAGTAGATGAGGGAAATCAATATGGTGCACAATTCTTGGTGTCTCTCAGGGAGAGCGGGGGGAAGCTTCCGAATATCGTCTTAGGGAATCGTCTTCGTCGGTTTCGAGTGGGTACACACTGTGCGAGGCCGGTCGCCCTCGATACCGGGCTACGATATGTTGCGAGCTGCCCTCCGGCCCCCTCATTCGCCCGGGAGGCTGCGTTTCAGGAGATTGCCTTTGCTCGCCATAAATATTCCAGGGAAGATATCAATCGATATCCGGGGTCAATATATATGAACACGACTTAGCCACCTTTGACGATTTCGATACTCCTCACAAGCAAACGCAGCGAGGCGCGACAGGATATGCCAGTTTCGCCCATGTATTTCTGACAAAGGACTTTCATTTCAACTTGGCGTTGCGCAGGATAGGACGACCTAATCGTCTAGCCGTCATCCAAATGACGTGTGGTCGCTTCGGGGATCAAACTCCTCTGGCCAATGCTAATCACCTCGGAACGCTTCATATTTCATGAGAGCCGCAAAGTTTCTGCCGTCAATGATGTCTCGATTAAGACGAGAAAATCCGTCACAAGGGATGAGAGCTGGTATTTCAGTGCTACGATTTGGAGATCAGGGCTATTTCTGCAGCGGCCACTATTTAATAAATGTCCACGTGTCGAGTCTTCAATGTAATTGGTTCGAGTGTACCGGAGTCTAGACATATCCCTACGCAGACTCGAGCCAACGAATATCGATGGCAGTCAGGCATCTTTCAGGTGCGGATCCTCATTGATCGTCATAAATATTGTGAGCCATCGTCTTGACATTGCGGTGCTGAGTCTCTGGAGCTTCTTCTGACTCATCTGAACTTCTTTATACGGCACCGGCGTGCGGAGCGTTCTCCAGGGTCGAACTCGCAGCAAGGGGTCTTCACTCGTGAGCCCCGGAATTCAAAAGGCGAATGACCACGCTGTACTCTAGAGCGGGAGGCCCCAACGGGACGCTACGACGCGATTCTGCTAATAAAGCGTAAACTACCTCGAATTCCTCTGGACTCCACGGAGAGTTGGTGAACAGTGGGCTTCCGAATAGGAATTCCGTCGCCTGCCGCTTATATGCCGCTTAATATGGGACCCCACAAATGGCGAGTTGCAGTCCGGCTGTCCTGGTTCTGCAACTGGTTTTCCCATCCAGAGATGACAAAAACCCTGCGGCAGGCATTTTTTGACAACTGCCAGCTCTGTTACGGGCAAGGTCATTGGTCGCTCGAGTCATTTGTACACAGCCGCCTGCAATCTCTGTTTCAAGTGATGATAGAGGCTCATATGGGGCACAGGGACACGATTCTCGTCTCTCCATTGAGCTTGAGCAACCGAGCTCCTTTTTTGCAATTCGTCCCGATGCGGAGACACTGACCCGGAAGAAATCGGGAAACTCCGAGTAGGTTGGTCGGCGTCTTTCCGAGATCCCTCTAGGAAATCCTTCGCCACTCCATTCTCCGCTGCGGCTCCTAATCTCGGATCCGATCTCTATCGGCTCTCCCTTCAGCCTGGCGCTTGCAACGATTATATGAGGGGTGCACCACTTCTCGGAACGAGTTTTACCATTAGATTGATCGATTTCACGGCTATTTATCCACTGCGGACCATGACAGTATCATTATTGGTCAAGTTTGGCTTTCCGTCTGTCAAATAGAGCTAGTTATTAGCGCCGAAGCCGCATTTAATGAGACCCATTCGATGCCGGTATCGCTTCGATATCACGCGCGGCGAAAGTGCCCATGATTGTCGGAGCCGCGCCGCTGGCTTTCCTCGTACCCCGGACGTCCGAATCACTGGAATTACTGAGAAGCTCGATAGATACAAGAGTTGGGAGAGTAGCATGCGCTTGGAACGACACGGTACCTCAGAGCCCCGGAATACTATGCCAAAGTGTTCGATGGAACTTGACGCGACGTTTGAATGAGTTGCTTGAAGGGGGGTCTGAGGGTCCTCCGAATGAACCGGACATAAGAAGCGCGAGAAATCGATCACCATGGGCGTAATCTTGGTCACTGAGGGCTCTCGAAAGCCTTTGGGTTGTGGCTTGTGACCTTATCCGTGGATCGCTCGGATGGCGATTGAGTGCGTCGAAGCAGCCGGTGGGAAACGAGATTGCGAAATCAGGAGCACCTGATCGATTCTGACGCTCATACGAAGATTTGCTGGAGCCCATCTCTGAAGTGGGGAACGTGCGAAGGACTTCACGTACGCTTTTGTGCACCCGTTCACGCAACAAGGTGTCCCCGCTAACCCAGATGAGGGGCTCTAAGGTACTGCTCAAACCTCGATTCGATGACACCATCCATCGTTGCTCACGAGACTCACGAGATCGTAACACGTACATGGATGGATTTATTTGACCACTTCACTGATGAGGGCGGTATTCATTTCCGCACAGAGCTCCTGTGAGAGCAGGAGTCGGAGAACATTGTCAACATTCAACACCTTTCAGTCAGGAACCAGTTTTCAGGTTGCCTCCTCTCTGCCCCTCATGCCCTTGATGTGCCCGTTTGTCAGCTTGGACTCTTCCAATTGTCGGACACCGCTCAGCCGCTCAGTATCCGACCGGTAATCGTCGTTAATCGGAGGGAGCTCTTATCGCTCCTTGGGAACATGGGCATAATCGAAATGGGTATTCGGAAATCGTATGGTTTTTTTTCGTAGTCTCTCAAAATTTCTACCCCATACAAACTAGGCGTAGAAAGAGGTCCTCCTGGGGCCCGGAAGCTTCCGCGACCGAGCTGGGCTCGTTCCCTGGGCAAGTCATCTGTGTCTCCCACGAACGACTTGCAGAGAAGAATTATCTGTATCTCGAAGCGGCGATCTGTGGGTAAGCGAAGTTGCCGATTCTGTCAACTTGTCCGAGGGAACCCTTGCATTACCCGCAGTTTTGTGAATGTATGTGTGTGTGTGTGTGGGTGTCGCTTCCTATGGCCTTTGTTCAGGAACGTCAAACGAAGCAGCGAAAATAGGATCCCGTATTTAACTTCGGACCGAAATTGCCAAATCTCATTCAGACAGCTCATCCCATTAGCGAATAGAAAAGCCACACTGGCGCTGAAAGCCGAAGCTTCCCCATTCTTTCGAGCTCAACGGAGGAACTCCCAAACCCCTTCTGCGAAGGGTAATTCTCGCTCATTTTCGAAGCTCCCAGTGACCCGCAGAGAGCTCTAGTTCGCTGACTGAGAGTCGGTGAGGCGCAGGGCATTGAGACGAAAGAATTAAGTCAACTCTTGGTAGCGCTCTTAGAGGCCGTGAGCACTCGACGGATTGGAAGCGTCGAACAAAACTGCTACGGAATCTTCTCAACCCAGACCTCCCATCTAACGGAGTTGGAGGAAAGCCTGTACACGAGACTGAATCCATGCATATTCTTCATTCAGTGCTCCTTTTAACCTCCGAGTTGTTCCCGACTTGTCCCGACGGAGTCTCACCGTATCTTTTTTTCGGTTGTGGCCGAGCGTGATCCTTCATACGGGCCTATATAGGATGTATGCTCTTATTTACCATTCCACGCCTCATCCCACGGCTAACGATTCCTTGAATCATTGCTCCCTGGAGGAAATCAATGAATCAATAGATGCAGGTTAGGCAGACTGTTTCCTGTGGAGGAAGGACCCCACTGCGCCACAAATGAGAGGTAACGTGAACAAATTATACGGAACGGAAGCCGGGGGAGGATGCAGAGAGCGGATGCACATACGAACTAAAAAAGTCTCGCTCGGTAATAAACTTGATGGTGTTTCCTGATGGAGTAGAGGGGTTAGATGACATTATCTCGTTGTTGCTCCTTGTGCTTGTCGACAGAGTTCCATGACCTTCCATTTTGCTTGTGATAAGAAGGCTGAGACGGGTCGTTTCCGGGCGGGAGAAAATATCACCGACCTGCCCTCGTCGGAGACGGCCGATCATGGAACAGCTTCCCCATGTTTCCCGTTGAGCAGCATTTCTTTGGATCGATCGAAGTTCTGGAGAATTCGGAATTGGGAAACCATCTCACAGCTGTCATCTTCGAAGCCTCTATTTGTGGTGTGCGCGCCAGCAAATGTCACACTCACGGTCCTCAATGAATTTTCGGCTCAAGACCACAGACTGATGGAAGACCCCTGAACCACATGGAGCGCTTCTTCGCGAAATTCATCGCGTCCTTGTGGTTAAGGCTTCGCTACGAAACAGAAACGATCGGGGCAAAGGGAAGATTACTCAGGCACGGAGTGGCGCTCGGGGCCCGGAGCTGACGTGATTAATGCGTATCGGCACGTCGAAGGCGAAAGTTTTGAGCGAGGGAATCATTTTTTTTATGAAGTTGATGATCAGCGACATTTTCTCAAATGAACATCACACGACGAGCTTGTATTAGGCGCCCTCTGCCGAACACAGGCACACCATGAATTTGTGACCCTTTTCTCCATGGTGACGAGCATTGGATCTTCCAAACACTGTAGAACTCATCCGATCGATCGATCAAACCCAATACTACTTGTAGGATACTTCTTCGGAAATGGAAGCGGGTGATTGAAACAAGTCGGGCATGGCAAGATCGTCTGAACAGTATGGACTGCAATTTCGGAAACATTGATCCAGCTAGCGCCGGGTTGCATCGTTCCGTGGTCATTGCGAAACCTCCATCGCACCCCGAAAACTGCTTCTGCCGACGAACATGTGTCCGAGGCGGTGGAACGCCCCGTGAAGAACCGCGACGTAAAAATTTGAGTGGATTAAGCTAGAGCACACGTATTTTTTGTTTTCCCGAAATGAGGAATTTCGGACAGAAAGTCTCGCTTTGGTGGCTTCCACGTGAAAAGTTTTCGCAACGCAATGTTCGGGACGATTCTATCTCATACGGCCATCTGAAGCGATCGTCGAAGGCACGCTCCCTTGTGTCAGATGAACAATAATGCCGGCGATCATTGGCATCGGCTGAGCATTCATTTATTCATCAAAAACTTCACAGGGTATATATATTACAGGTTCAACTCTCAAGAAAATGCAGCTAAGAACTCCGATTTGGCTTGTCAGAGTCAACGCGATCGGCGTATAGCTCTGCGATGCGTGAAACGTGGACTTTCATCATCACATCATAGATTTTCACTGTGACCTTTGCGATGGCTCCCCACGAACTGAAAGACGTTTGGAAATTATACTAAGCCGAACAATTTCTTCACTGTCCTCCGCCGTCATGCTACGGTAAGAAAGCGGAGTCGCCGCTGTGATCGAAGATTCAACTTTCACAAAGAGTCGTCACAGGAAAAATCAGAATCAGATTGGCTGAAATGAATTCAGTTGGTATTCGACGTCAATGAAGATAAATTACCTTGGGTCGCGATATCGCTCGTTCTAGTGTATATTCAGCGTGAGACCGAATTTCCCATCCTTCGCCCATCCGTTCAAGAGAATCGTCGGCTTCGGCCGGTGTTTCCGATCGACGTGCAAGCTGATCCAAGGCTCATCGTCGTCTCCATACGTCGTGTAACTGTGAGTCACCGTCTTCGGGACCTGTATGCGGCAGCCCAAAGGGGATAATTGAGTGAGAGAAGTCGTAATCGATCAATTCGGCGGTCAGTCGCTCTGCTTCGCACAAAGCTGATTCTGCTTGAAGCTCAGCGATCGAGCGGAGCAACGTCGTCACGGCTTCGGATTTCAAATTTCCAGCGCGCAATTCCTCAACCGGGCCGCATTGGCTCAGGAACCTGAGCCTTTCGAGATGCCCGGCCACAATTATCGCGCTCGCATAGCCAAGAAGTTTCGGGATTCTAGTCGCCCCGTGCGAGCGATACAATAGAAAGATCAACATCCAGGGTACTAGAAATTTCGTTCCTACGTTACCTTCCGAACGATTTTAGTGACGGTTCGCACTTTATATCGCGGTGGCTCATGATGATGATGAAAATGAGATGGATGGCTGGGCTCATGGATGGGCCCTTCGACTGAATAAACTTCTTCACCTTGCCAGTGCGAAGGTGGCATCACGTGAGGCACTGGAATTCATCGTCGAATGCTTTAGTGCTCGGCGAGAGGGAGTAGATGTCGAAAATGATAGCGATAAGTGCGGTGAATTCTGTGGCTCTGTTGAAACTTTGATGGGACTCGATGCTTGGCTCGGATCAAATCAAAGTTTTCGGAGGGAACACCGACGTCGAGTCTGGGTAAGATCTCCTCTGGATTGAACGGGGAGAATTCGATGAGATCACTTTTTCTGCGAGAATATATATCGGCCTCCGGTACGCCTCCCGATTCCGAAACTTGAGAAATTGCTATCCGAAGGTATGTATCTTCTCATATTGCTTGGTCGCAATTGGAATGAGATCAGATTCCATGTCGTTCCGGGTTCCGGTCACCAACAATATTCGAGAAAACTTCCCTTTATACGTGATGTATCTAAATCGGCGGTGGGAAATCCTCGGGAAAACCCCTTAAGGATAACCTACTTCGGAAGTAGAAAGCGTGCACTAATATTGTGGAGCGGATTATGCATTTCGTCAGAAGCTCGTACGTATTCGGCCGCACAGGGAGAGGAACCCGATCACGATGTGGGATGTGGTAGATGTTCATAAAGATAACGATTATCCAAATATAGCAGCAATGAGAAGACAGTGTTTCAGAAAATTCTTCTCACTCAGTTTACTGTTATGATCAGTTAGGATTAGGAGATTCGCTGACGCAAGGGGAACCTCCAGCCTCTCGGGAGCCTTCTCCGCGCGGAATCGAATGGTCACTACGCAGAGAATATTTCAGGGCCCACGGAAGTACAGCGATGTAAGCGAACGTCATAGGGAAGACGGCACGCATCGTCCGAAGAACGCTCGAACAAACGTTTACGAAACACGTACAATTTCACGATGATAACATCTCTACTGAAGACGACGCCCGCCTCGAATTTTTTTCGCGCCGCTTATCGTACAGTCCATGCCGACCGAGGATTGGAAAAAAGGTCTTGAGCGTTGTTTATTCCGAAAATAAAGAAACGAAGCTCTGTTGAAATGACCGCTGCCGCCGCTACCCCTCCAACAACTGTTCTGCGTGTGCTGTAAGAACAGCCGCAGTCGTTGGTGCTTTTTTGCGATGAGAAATGGCGAAAGCATTCTTTGAGTCGTTTTAAGGGGCTATTTCGAGAAAGGACGATTTTGAGTTCTAGCCAAGCGTGACATTGAGAGGTGTCAGAGCCATTGGACCTCCCAATGAGGAGCGGCGGAGTTTCTAGCGCTCACAACCTCACAACCGCGAGTATCCCCGGTCACCGTGGAGTTCCAATCCAACTCGCTCATTAGAGATTCCGACTCTTACTCGTCGGTATCGTTGACCGGAACCAGGACGGATCGGATAGCTATTTCTAACCTTGCCATTGCTGATCCCAAGCGGGGGAAGTCCATCCAACATCTCCGGCTTCGATGGAATCCACACAGAACAAGGACACACACGAAAGGACAAGAAATACGAGGAAGTTTACCCAACTCCCACAGAGTGGCATGCTTGCGCCCCGGCGCTGAGATCCACGCGAGCCGTCGAGCCGTCTGGTTCTAAAGCGTCTGCGAACTTAGCGGCGAATGTTTGATACAAACCGTCGTGCCGGTTATGGCGAGGGGGTTTCTTGGCCCGCTTACGGGTCTATCTGATCACTACCGTTACGCAACAGTCGGCATCGGTCAGAAGATCCGACAATCTTCCCAGACCGAAGGTCCTGGGAAGTTTTAGCCGATGAATGGATGACGCATCGAGCTAATGACATCTTGTACTACTGTCACCGCTATCGGCGATGCTATCATTTCCGCTGCTACTCTTCGCGTGGAAACCAAGGGGGTGAACGAAAGTCGAAAAGTCGTTCCCTGTCGCTGGTCGCGTATCTTGAGACAGCTTCAGCTGTTCCATTTCATAGACACGATCGAAATAGGCGAATTCAATCGAAACCCAGTGACGAGATTTCCTACCCATAAGGTCCCGACAATTTTTCCTGGTTGGAATCGCGATCCGCCCGGGGAAACTTCCAGCAGGCTTGCATTGGTCAAATCACTTGCTTGTGCGACGAATTTAAAATTCCAGGTTCTCAGCCGGTATCAAAAACTCTCCAGCGGGTCATGGCTTTCGCCGTCGCTACCTTCGATTTTCGTCGAGGCAGAGCATCGAAATGCTCTTCACGTTCCAGCCGCGGGACAATATTGCATCAGCAGCAAATAGTGAGCGCATGATACTTTGCCATGCTCGCGCGAGGAGGCACTTCGAGACGAGCCGGTCTGGAGGCGATAATTAATTATTTCCGGACCGAATCACGCAGCCCGAGATCTGGGTCCCAGGTGCAAATTACAATAGCAATACGATTTCTTAAGAACAACACCTACGGCGAGTGCCACCCCCTAGATGATTGGCGGGACGTACGATAGCTCTCTAAGGAGATCCGACTTCTTGTACAGGAGTCAGAACCCATACGCTGAGTATTCGGATCACAGCGTCTTTGAGACTCTATTGTCACGATTTAGAGGGAGGCTTTCTCGAATCCTCCAGATTGTACGGACAAGGAGAGCTTGGCAACCATCTCCAGGGCCACAGGGCAGAACTGGTGTCGTTGATCATGCTGTTTGGGCCTCGCTTCCGAGGACGGATCCCGAGAGCGAATGACCTAAAGTAGATCAAGATCGAATTAAAGTTTTTGCCCCCAAGGATTCCGAACCGAACTGACTCTTCCTCGAGCAGCGTGACTGCGCTCTCCCTTTCAGAGAGAAATACTTTTTTCGACAAGGATTGCTAATTATTGAGAATCGGTTAACCTCACTCTTGATCCTGAAGCCAGCAACCGAAAGTTTACGGGACGGTGACTACCGCCTAGAGAATCCGACTACACTCATGGGGTACTTGGCGCGTTGTACATATACCAAGACCATCGATGAAGACGCCCGCGAAGGGTACATATTTGAAGAAAACATTTCATCGAAGTGCGAGGAAGGGACGCTGCCGCGGCGTACCCAAGAGAAATGAAGCTGACAGCTAATATTGGCCCTACAGAGAACTTGACGCTTCTATCGAGAGTTCAGACCAGTGTTCCCCGAACTTCGTTTCCCATACCCCATTTCAATATTAAGTCACGCTCCAACGTGCCCCACTCCTCATAGGCTTGTCTAAGGGCGAAAATTGTCTCACGCCCCACTTCGGGGAGTGTTGGTTCAGACGATGCGTCGCCGGAGCGAATGGTTGGACCTCAACGCAGGTCACGGGTCACATTACCAAACCTACATGCATTGTCCGATGGAACCCTCGCTCAATCGATGGCGCGGCGTATTGTAGGATGATGGCAGGTGATACAAATCATTCTGAAGTCTTTTGTTATCGTCTTGACCGATAATAATCGTCATCGAAAGAGACTTAATCGCGGCTTGGAGCAATCGGACTAAGGGAGCGTGACCTGCGAATATCATTATTTCTACGCAGCGCTGTGTGAAGAATGAAGCGGCTCCAAGTCCAATGTCACTGAGTGGGAGACGGAGCCGGGTGACAGTGCTCGGAGAGCTCCTCATGGATTCATACGCGTACGCTCATCTCGAGATGTATGGCATCCTTGAATTAATTAATTCAGGACTCTAAGCCACATGGTCGAATATATGGGCGGACGGTGCTCACAACACCGTCCGCTTGGCGATTGTTTGAGCGGGGCGAGGCAAGCATTGAATCGTCTGATCGAATCACTTATCGAATTTCGATGTCCTCCTCCTGGATGGCACCCACACGATTTCTCTCGAGTGGTTGAAACTTACATTTTTCCTGTCGAGCGTTGTCCTCCCCGAACGGTCTGAATACCGCAGCTGCAGGAAAATGCTCGATCGATGTTCCGGCCTCATCGGTGATCCCTCGATGTAAACATAGCATGGGGATTCTGTCCTCAGGATAGAAGATTCCACGCGAAGACCGTCACGTCGCGATCGGCCCGAGTCTATCGACACTCAGATCCAGATTAAAAAAAATTAGGAAATCGCTGACTCTTGTGAGAACCAATAGGATGCAAAGTTTTGCCATCGAGATTGTGCCGATGGAAAAATGGCCCGGACTTCTCTCCGTAGCTGATTCCGCTTCCATTCTGTGCTCTGAGCCACAAATCATTGGTCGTGATTGGTTTCAGCTTTCGGGTTAGGAGCGATGGCACTTCAGAGCGCGCATCTTGGATATCATGCAGTGCTACCCACCCCCAAGGGAAGGATATGCATTTCAGTAAATCTATTGAAACTCGAAGTTTTATCCGGTACTCATGCAGCGTCGAGACATGCCTAGGCTTTTCCTGCGCTGCCCTCCGGTCATCCGAGCTCGTGGATTCACGGTTCTCCAAAGCCCGCGTGTGAGGAAGTCATGAGATTTTTCGCATCGTAGCCTATACGGACGAGCTCTCCTCCCAACATGGGATGCTCATATGGGGAATCCCTCCCACGCGGATCTTAGATATCGCTCTTCCCCGCAATTCCCGATGGTGGGAAGCCGTCATGCCGTAATGGTTCAAGGAAGTGCGATTCCCATGGGACGAGACGAGCCAATGGGGGTCTGGCTGACTCCCAGCCAGAGCCGTCTCGGAGGGCGACTCGAGGGCTGCGGAATGCTTCTCGACTGAGCGCGGAGCCACTTCCGGCCACAGGCGGAACCGAGTTATTGATTGACTCCACCTCTACCAGCCCGACTTCTCTGTCTTCGTACGGAGCTGCCTGAGTTCCCCTTTGTTCCTGGCGGAAGACCTCCCGTTGCATGAATGCACACCTGCTCCAGGTAGAGATGAGAACCACAAATTTTCCTTTTCGTTCCGCCCTCGAGGAGATTTGCTTCCCAGAAGCCCTGACGTCCCGCTTGGGTCAAGCTTGATTGTTTCCGCCAGAGCCGTGCTGGAGAGAGGATGGTTGCGAGAGGGGTTTCTCGATGTCGGTATGCACAGGTATCATCGAGGTACCTAGCGAAACGGGACCTATTCCCCCGGAAAATGAACGGATCCCACCGCTGAAGAGTGATTGGGTTTCCCTCACGAGCCGAGTTTTGAGCCTCTTCTCTCAGAGGCACCATTGCTCCCCCTCGTGTCGGGTTCTCTGAGAGCTGAGATTAATATCGATGCGATTCTGGGAAAGTCAAGCATGATCCCAGGGCGATACTTGGAGCAGGCGAGTTTATGAAGTTTAGAGGCGCTGCTGTTCTCAAAGCCTCGAACGGCTTCAGATCATGTCCGTATAGTCCTGTGAGAGACTTATCGGTTCCGCTTTCGAAAAAAACTGCATTAGAGGGTCGCTCTCTCGGTCTCGTCTCGAAATCCGAACTGAACTCATCGATCTCTGCGTGATGCTATAGAGAGTCGGGGATCATCTCTGAATGATCTGGAGTGAAAGAGACGGATTCTAACCCTCCATTATCGGCGGTTTCGATGACCTTCGTCCCCATCCATGTTGCGTAATTTCCGTTGGATTGCCGCATCTCTTCTGCTCTCTGTTCTTCAAGCTGCCTCGGGCTAGAGCAAGGGGCGTGTGCAGAGATTTCTGTCGGACGGAGATGCGAATAAGCAGCAGGGAACCCTACCGGGAGCTGAAGCATTGCGGATCATGAGTTCACATGCACGTGATGTATCGGGTCAGCGTGTAATCCATGAGTTCGGGGCCGCATTCTTTGTACCATTGCGGAGCTGATGTCTTCGGTCCCCGATTAGCTGCATGGAATACCTCCACGTCGCAGAGCAAAACCATGGGGTTTTCGAATCATTGATCCGGGCCGGGAGGCTCTTCGGACGATTGGCCGACGAAAAAGATGCTGCTCAGCTTGCCTCCCCATTCCAGGCGAAACGACATCGGGACCAAACACCGAACTATTTTCCGAAACGAATTTTGTTCAAGTGCGGCTCTCCGACTCTCGACATGAATAGAATCATGAACACCGTCACGGAGCGATGGGAGCGAGCTTCGCGGTGGCGCTCCCCTAGTTGGAACGATCTGCGATTCTCTTCCCTGAGCCTGGGGAGTGGATACTTACAGCGATTGAAAGCACATGGTGGGAGCGTGATCCCGCGACTCACGAGGGTCTGGGGAGTAGTCAATCCGCTCAGACGGAGGGAAGTTTGAGCAGACTCCTGCGTGTGTTAGATGGAGAACGAGCGAGTAAACCGGAGAACCAAGAATGCGGCTGCCAAGAACGAATATTGGATCATATGTAGAGCTTCGATAAAACCGAATGGCCCGATTCTAGTGGCACGCTCCAGACTGATTCCAGAGGCTCAAGCATATGCTGCATCGTGATTCGTTAGCTTGAGGAATCTTCATGTGACCGTGAAGAAGAAAAAAGTCAAAGGAGTTCTGAGAGTGCACATGCTGTTGGAATGTCCGATTTTACCGAAGCTCTGATCATATGATATGAACAAGCTGATCGCGATCGCAAAGGATGCTTACTGGGGAATAACGGTCCATTGAAGTTATCCCGCGGTAGTCCACGGAGCTAAGAGTGAGGGCTTCCCATTCATTATTATTGCTCTACGGGAAAAGAATCGTGGAAGATTAGGGAGAATCCGAAGATGTTCATGGAGAGCTTCCGTGTTCTCAGCGGGAA